GCTAGTTGTAGGTTTCTGTAGATGACCTTTATCAGGTTCAGCAAATTCTTTTCTAGTTTGCTGATGGTTGCTATCAGGATTCAATACTGAATTTTTTGCAGTGTTTTTTCTTTACCTATTAAAATGACCATGTGTTTTATTATTGCATTTGACCAATCATTAACTCTTGGACAAGTTTTGTTTTATAAATAAAAGAAATAAGAGGCTGTGTGTATGTGTGTGTGTGTAGAGCAGGGGAAGGAGGGTGGGAGAGAGAGAGAACAAGACAGAGAGAGACAGAGAGAGAGAAAGAGAGAGAGAGAGGAAGAGGTGTTCTTTGTTCTGTTTTTCTTACTCTATGACTGATACAACTTTTCACACAACTGCTCAAAAATCCAAGAACTCATCCTTAGGTGAGTCTTTCTATTATTACTTCCACTTCCAATATCCAAGTGATGTGTGGGGTCACTATTTGTTGACATCTTATTTCCTCTTGGAAATTCATCCATTGATCTCTTTACCTAAGCCCCTTTGTCCCTGATCTAGATTACTACCAATCTTACTTTGAGTCTTGCCTTCTATTCAAATTCTCATACAGCAGCCAAAATCACCTTTCTTAAATGTTAATTAGAGTTAGCAATATCTTTTTTAGTAATTCACCAATGGCTCCCATTCCTTAAAGGTACAATACAAGCTGTAACCTCCCACATATTAGCACACTGGTTCTGAATGATATAAACCAGAGCTGTGTGGTCATGGCATTGGGCCATGTGGAATCCGTCTACATTGTTCCAGACTATCCCTCCAAGCCTTGGCATGTGCTTCTCGTAACTGCAACCATATTCCTTTTGGGGGGCCTAACGTATGTATCTAAGGCCTGTTACTGCTCCATAAGGAGGCCTTCACAGCTCTCCACCCTGCATTTCTTTGGCTCACTGAGCTAACCTCTGTATTCCACTGACATACATTTTATGGATTTACTAATTGAGAGTCTCTACATTGGACCTCCACAGGGCAGTGTCTTTTAATTCTATATCTCTTTTATCTACTTTATACATTACCTGTCACTGCGAGCAGCACAGTTATATTTCAATACCTCTTTATAGTAGAAAGGAAGGAAAGAAGGAAAGAAGGAAGGAAGGAAAGAAGGAAAGAAGGAAGGAAGGAAGGAAGGAAGGAAGGAAGGAAGGAAGGAAGGAAAGAGGGAGGGAGGAAGGGAGGGAGAAGAAAAAAAGGAAGGATGGAAGAAAGGAAGGGAAGAGGGAAGAGGAAGGAAGGGAAAGGGGGTAGGAAGGAGTGAGAGAGGTTGAAAGCAAAAGAAAAATGTTAATTCATTAGAATAATTTGATAAATTATGAGAACTCAAAAATCGTGGAATACATAAAGAATAAATCAACAAAATAAAGTCAGCTATTAATTCACTGGCTCTCATTTTTCAATTAGAATAAGTATGATGTCCCACCTCTATAGGAAGTGGTGACTTAGGGGCACAATGAGGGTGAAGTGAGTAGCCTGCAGGAAAATGGCACTTCCTACCCTCTAATGCTACACTGTGAACAAGGCATTATAGTTGTCTGCTAAAACATATATGAAGAGGAGAGGAAAGAGACATTTGGCTTTCAGTTACATTAATATATATATATATAAAAAGCAAGTATATATAGAAATAATCATTAGTGGTATTTAACTGTTCATTTTGCTGTGTCTGAGCCATTCTGCATATCAAAAAATTCTGTGATCTTTTTGACAATAGGGTATAGGCAGGAACTTTTCTAAAATTGAAGAAGGGACAGAGAGGAGGGGAAACCAGGCAGAGCTAATTTAAAAAGTACCTCTCTGCCTAAATATGTCACATCCTCCCAAGGGTTGTCTTCCAAGTTCAACTTAGGTAGAATCAAAACATGTGACCCACGGATGGTCAGAGTGCAAGGGGTCATGTAGGCCTGGATTGGAAGCCTGGCTTCACCTCTGGGACATGCATGCTTAACCTCACTGAGCCTCAGATTCCTTATTTGTGAAGTGTAGATAATAATTTTACCTTAGAGGATTAAAAATAGAGGTTATAAAATTCCTACTTAAGTGCTTTTAATAGAGTAGGTATTTAAAAATGACAGCTAAATGATTTTTTCCTCCCCTTTGGCTTTGCCCACAGATTTACCTAACTCACTGTGCCTACTGCCTTCCCCTTACTTATCCAGTTCATTTTCTTCATTCAAGAGACATTCAAATACAGAGAATGTATATTATTTTTAAATGTCATAACTTCTCTTTTCAATATTATTCATGTGGACATCAGGATAGAATTCTTTTATTATTTAGTTGCTCAAGTCCTGAAAACATGTCATTTTATGTCTAGAAATGGGTGTGCACATCAATTGACTTATAATTTGATCCTGGAATTTCTGAGCAAACCTTGTAATTTCTTCACAAGCCCAGTATAGTTATGGGCCTGTAGAGATCGAATCATCTTTACCTTTAGGGTAGAGAGAGCTGACCTTGCTTGCAGAATATTCTAGTGTTCAAGACTGCCCTCAGGCACAGATGCCATCCTTCTTCCTCTCCCCTTCACAGTTGATAGCAAACCTCGGTTCACCAACAGCCCACCCTTGGCCACCCTGGGCAGCCTCCTGGATGACCAGCACTGGCACTCTGTCCTCATCGAGCGGGTTGGCAAGCAGGTGAACTTCACCGTGGACAAGTACACGCAGCACTTCCGGACCAAGGGAGAGGCGGATGCCTTAGACATAGACTACGAGGTGAGTTGACACTCCCTGCAGATCACAAGCACCTTGCTCAGGATCAGTACAAAAATCAGCAAAAAGAAGAGCAGTAGAGAAAAGATTTGGAGCTCTGACAACTCTCACCCTGGGGCTTATCTTCTCTGTCAAAGCCCAGGAAGCCCAGGAGGAGTTCTTGGAGAGAATCTGAGCAGTGAGCATGGGGAAAATATGTGGACAATAATGGTAATCCACAGGCATCAGCTAATCATGTGCATTTTTAATTCAGCAAGTTTCCTTTATATATTTATTTCTGTTTATACCACCCTGTATTACTGTTTAGTCTCTTGGTTAATTCAATTTCTTTTTTTTCAAAAATCAAGTCAAATTAGCCAAGATAATGGAAGATATAGAAATTATACTAATATAGTTTTCCATGTCAAGTGTACCTCAATAAAAAGGGGATTATTAATTAATAAAATCCAAAGGAATCTAAAATCTGCACTGTAGGCATTCATTTTTACCTTCAGTTCTAAGCAAACTTTTGACTCTAAATGGACAGTTGTTTCTTTCTTACTTTCTTATAGAAGAGACACAGTGACATGCTCCACTGGAACAACAACAACAAAAAAGTTGTTCAAAGTTCTACAAACTGGAAGTCAAGAGTTATCCATCTTTGCTAATAGTTCAGTTTAAAAAGTATACATTGTGCCCTATTGTATACTAGGCTCTGCTCTGGGTAATGAAGGTACAGAAATTACGGAGGCAGAGTCCTTGAGCTGGAGAAGCTTACAGTCTAGTAAGCAGAGTCAGACCAAGAATAAGTGGTGCAGAAAAAGGAGGTGGAGCTACAGTTGAGAGTAGCCCTGGACTCTGTGGGAATACTGGAGAGATGCCACTTGGCTCAACCTAGAAATATGGTAGAGTCTTCTAGCAGAAGAGGTTATCAAGTATCAAAAGAAGAGATGAAGTAGGTCAAAACTGTAGTCCAGGCCAGAGAGCACACTGTGCAAGGCACAGGTCATGAATGTCACAGTCCAGTGTTCATGCGATTTGAAACAACAGACAGACAGTGGTGTGCTGGAGCCAGCTGTTACTGACTAGTGAGGGCCAACTGGTAGACTTTCAGGAATTTTATGTTTCTGGTAAATACAGCCATTATTTTAAAAATAAGTTATATAAACTTAGAATTCAATAAAGTAATTTTTTTTTTTTTTTTTTTAGGGAGGCAACCCTTGGTTGACCTCACAAATTGCAAGGACTTTGTCGGCTTACAATCCCTTATTTTTTAGGCCTACAGCACCTGGTCTTCCTAGGTGGTCTCGCATCCAAGTACTAACCAGGCCTGACCCTGCTTAGCTTCTCAGATCAGACGGGTTCGGGCTTGTTCAGGGTAACGTGGCTATAGACTCAATAAAGTATTTTAATTAATTAATTAATTCTTAATTATTTTACTATATGATATTTGTCTGTCTATCACTCTATGTATGTATTTATATATACTTGAGATTATGTTTTTTTTGTTTTGTTTGTTTTGTTTGTTTTTTTTTTGTTTTTTACTTCTGTATCTGTGTGGTGGAAATGCACTACATTGGGCTGTTATAGTACACCTCTTCCCAATTCTATGTTCAGTAACATTCCTTTGACAGCTTGAAATCCACCATGGTGGGGATATTTACACCATGGATATCAGAAAATGTTATAAATCAGGGTTTGATTTATTGTTTTGTCGATTACCTAGACCAGTGATGGACAAACTATAGATTGCAGGCCAAGTCTAGCTTAAAGTCTGTTTTCCTCCAGCCTACGCATTAAGAAAAAATTTTACATTTTTAAAGGTTGTTAAAAAAATTACGGAATATAAAAAAGAATATGTGATGGAGACTGTGTGTGATTACAGATAAAAGAGTTCAGTGAAAAAGCAACAAAAACAAGAATCAATCGATTATATGAAATTTATAGTAAAGATTATTGTATATTATTATTTGTAAATTGTCTAAGCATTGTTTATATCAGTAATATAATCTTA